CCGTTGTAGAACTGTCAATGCTCAACTTTCTCTCCCCCCGCCTTTGCCATCGTTCTCTCATTTTCTTATCACAACTAAGTGGAGTCTTTTTACGACTGTCTAAAATTTCATAATCTTTCACATTTATTTTATCCATCTGTGGTTTGAGGGGGCTTTTTATGTCCTTTTTCCTCCCTTCCCCCACCTTAAAATCCTCTGTTTCATTTGGTCTGCCCTGCCTATCTCGACACTACATGGCCGATGTGATAGAATATATCTGTATGTTTCTTTTGGACCGAAAGTCAAACTAAATTAACAGCTGTTATGCAGTAGGTCAGGGACTTTTGTCTTCAGTGAGGATTTGAATCCGAGTGAAATCCGACTCTTCTAACCGCCAATTTTATTTTACTAGGGTCGCCATGTTTGATGTGACGTCATTGATGCTTTCGTTTAGTAGGTCAACTGATATTTGGCAACCTCAATAAGTGTGCTATTGTTGTTTTTTGCACCTCATTCACAAATTGTAAAAAGAACTTTTACCTTTTATCAGTTGTGACCGTATTGTCAGTTCCCTTTTCGGATAGTTCACCCAGTTGGAGATATGAACAGTTATAATATAAACAGTTATAATATAAACAGTTCTAATGTCCGTGAGCCTCTGTGCGTGTTCATAGAGACTTCAACATAAGTTAAGGAACACTTGCAAACTAGAGCTGGGCGAAGAGTCGATTCCGGAACCGATTCCCACGATTAATACTACGGAAGTAAAGTTCCGACTCCTTTTTACGTAAACTAACATTTGCCAGTTACCTTTATCATTAAAATCTTCTTCTTTTTGTTTTAAATTATTTTTTGTAGTGTTCCGAAATCAAGGTTGTCCTAAAGCCTAAAGATGTTCGGAGCTAACCAGGTAACCACTGGAAAAAATCACACCATCATTAGAAAATAAGTAATTGGGTTCGGAGTCGATTCCTACGATTCCTAGCTTTCAATAATCTGGAACCTAGCCGCCCAGCACTATTGCAAACACCCTGAGTTGTCTTCTTGGGTCGACCTGCACGTGGCCGTTCTTGGGCTGATCCAGTAGCTTGATGGCGCTGCCTCAAGAGGACAATGACAGTGTGACACTGCAAGCCTTCTGGTAACTTTTCTGGCTCCAACTCCATCCTGCAGCCGTGCCAAGCTCTGGCACGATCAAAGTCTCTCAGCTTTCGTCTTGGTGGCATGTTGTTGCGATACTGGATTTTGCGCCAGCGGCGGCTTATATTGCCACCAAAGTGAGCACAGTTCGAGACCAGACGTCTGTTTATCACGTGCACCAGAAATGTTTACTGAGGAATGTCCATGGTGCCACACACATGTCGATAAAAAAAACAACACATTTGGCTAAAATTCCCCGAGGATTTCCGTGCTGCACATGGTGGTTTTGCCCCTGTAGGAAGTTTTGCAGCACGCATTGGTAACCCAATAACACTTTCAAAGCAACAAAATTTGAAACATTCCTTGCTCTCTTTTTTTCTGATTTTTTTTTAAAGTCAGGGCTGTGTGTCAAGGTGGTCCTTAACTTATGTTGAAGTCTGTATAATCATCGTTGTTTTTGTTTTGATTAGTATTTTCTTTTGTTGACTTCGTGGATTGTTCTAGATAAACATCATTATTTGTTGCGATTTTTCATTTTAATTTTTAAAATTAAGCAGTTGTAAGCTGCTCAAAACAGTTTGAATATGTTTCGTTCAAAATCTAGTACCTTGTCAGCACTTTCTGTGTCTGTGTTTGATACTTGGTCGCTTCTTTTGTTTATTAAGTGTGTTTTAGACTAATTACTGAGGTTCCTCTCCTTGAGTCCAACATGCGCGTACCCTGTGATCTCTGTGTGTAAACTTTTACTGTTGATGTTGTTGTTATTGCCATTATTATTGTTGTTGTTGTGTGTGCGTGTGTATATGTGTGTACGTGTGTGTGTGTGAGTGTGTGTGTGTGAGTGTGTGTGTGTGTTTGTTTGTGTGTGTGTGCGCGCGCACGTGCGCGTACGTGTGTACGTACATGTGTATAGTTGACAGCTTTAGGGCGCAACGCTATGAGTTAAAGCTGTTGATTTTTTTTTATATTGCTCCTACACGTCATCGACCTCAAGAAGAGTGCTGTAGTTGTTGTTACTGTAGTTGTTGTTGCTGTTGTTGTTGCTG